GATTTGATACAACACAACCTACATGAAGTCTATTATCTCGCACATCCCATTTCAGTAGACTTCTGGGACACCAAATTACCTATGAAGCAAAAGTCATGACACAGTGGTTAGGTGTACAGGTGTACATGAAACAATTGAGTATATTTGCTTCAAAGCTTTATGTAATACACCAGATAAAGCTAACCCCTTTCCCCCCCTCACAGCCCAAGAAATATGTGCTGGATAGATACCCTATTCTAAACATTATTTTAATTTTTTATTATTTAAAAAACCCTAGATGTTCCTTACTCCTGAGGTATAAAAGATACAGGTACTATCAGATAATGGTAGAAAAAGACTTAAGAAAAAGAAAAATGAGAAAAGAGTGGTTAGATGGGGAAAATATGTCCTCAAAATGGAACTCTTTGCTGAGAGCCACAGATGCAATACCTTGGGTCTCAGGAGAGCTTTAATTAGTCCAGCGCTTCCTTCAGAGCATGCTCAGAAGCCCTGGCAGTGATTGTAAATTAGGGCAAAGAAATCCAGCTGGGCCTGGGTGGGTTAAGGGGGAAGGGCAGGATCTTAAAGGGGCAGTGACCATTTGAAAGAGCAATACCTCTGATCCCCATGATTCCAGTCAAAGGCCCTTGAACCTGCCACCACCAACCTACTCCAACTTCTGTGTTCCCTATCTCAGTTAATAGTGCCTCCATTTTCCCAGTCATTGACGCCAGAAATGTAGGAGTCATTCTCGATTTCTCTTCTGCTTCTGCAAAATGCAATCACTACCACTTTTTGCAGATTTTATCTTAAGTTTGACTTCATTTCTTCATCCCCCATTATCACCTTTCTGGGGTAAGCCCTCCCACCCTTACTGGGTCTGAGGCCTGCCTGGGCCATCACAGCGGCACCTCAGCCAGGTACGTCTGTTTGACTGCTGTCAAATCATCGTGTAAAAATCACACTCCAGCTTCAAACACTTCAGTGGCTCCCCACCACGCACAGGAAAAAGTTCACACTCCTCGGCGCTGCATGCCTGGCCTTTATCACCCCATCAGTCCTCGTTTCTGATGCTCCCCAGGTGCACTTTCTGTTCTCAGAGGAACCAGCTCCTTCATATCAGGACATATATGCTAAAAGGAAGAGTTTTTCACTAACTTAAAATATATAACCTTTTAGGGAGTAAAACAAAATAATCCAATTTCTAACTAGCGCTTTATTAATTTAACTATATACCATGCAAACTATTAATTTATAATTTTTAAAAAAATATTTTGTTTATTTATTTTTAGAGAAGGGGGAAGGGAAGGAGAAAGAGAGGGAGAGAAACATCAATGTATGGTTGCCTCTTGCATGCCCCCCACCAGGGGGCTGGCCTGCAACCCAGGCGTGTGCCCTGACTGGGAATCGAACTAGCGACCCTTTGCTTTGCAGTTCGGCACTCAGTCCACTGAGCCACACCAGCCAGGCTAATTTATAATTTTTTTCACTGCACGCATTATGATGTCAAATTTTTTTTCAAAAGTTAAAAATATAACTCTTTTATCGATATAGAATAAACCCAAATTAGATATTTTAATTAATGAGGGAAACAAGTAGGATTGTAAAGATGATTCTAAGAACATTTGCAGATCTAGTTACTTCCAGGAAAAATCCCCAGAATGCTAAAATAAGATGGCTAGCTTAAATACAAAGTGAGTTAATGTTCTATAGGGCAGTGAAATAATAGACGATCTTTTCTACTGAACATGATCTCTTACACCTCTCCCAAACAAAAATCTACAAAGTTTCGCATAACTGCACGCACGCTTCCTGGACTCTAATTTGGAGTAAATAGCAAAGTCAATCGCAGGTAAATTCTGCAGAATGAAATACTCCTGGGTGAGACTGTAAACAACGCTGCAGGATTGCACTGAAGGGCAGACTACAGTCCTCTTCCTGCTTTCTTATTATTTTCAAGTACAGGATCATTTTTATCAACAATGGAGGTTTTTTGTTAAAGCATGTCTCACAAAGCATGTCTCTTCCATTGGTGTTTTGGCACTACAGCCATCACTTCCTGAGTCAACAAAGTTTTCCAGAACACGTTTTTATGTCCTCCCAAAGTTTCTCAAATAAAGCATTCTTGGAATCTTGTGTAGATTCTCATGAGTTTGAAAAGAAAATAGAGGTACTGTATTAAATAACTGTAAACAGTCTATAGTTATGTGGATGTTAAAAATGTAGTAGTGCCCTGGCTGGCGTAGCTCAGTGGATTGAGCGCGGGCTGCAAACCAAAGTGTCGCAGGTTCGATTCCCAGTCAGGGTATATACCTGGGTTGCAGGCCACGGCTCCCAGCAACCACACATTGATATTTTTCTCTCTCCCTCTTTCTCCCTCCCTTCCCTCTCTAAAAATAAATAAATAAAATCTTTAAAAAAAATGTAGTAGTAACTACCAAAGTCATAGTAATAATGCAATCAGTAGCTCCCCAAAGTAGCAAAGAGAGAAGGGCAATATATAAATGGCTTTAAGACTCCACCAAATGGCCTGAAGGAAAAAGTAAGAAGATGGTAAAGAGAAAAATGAAAGAAAATGGTAGAAATTGTTCCAAATATATAACCTGTAATAACTATAAATGGACTTAACGCACCTATTAAAATACAGAGACTATCAAATTGAATGGATCAAAAAAAAATCCTTCTTCCAGAAACATGCCTAGAATGTAGCGAAACTAAAAGGATGAAAATAAAGATTACAAAGAAAATAATTTCAAAAATCTGATGCAGCGATCATTATTAATTAATAATTAATGTTAATTGTCTAATTAACATTAGACAAAAGTAAGACAAAAAGCATTAAGAAAAGAGCTATTTATTATGATAAAGGGAATGATTCAATTGGTACTTTTATGACCTACAGAAATAAAAAGAACTTCATAAAAACTCAATAATGGTAATCATTTATTAAAAATGTGTATGGTATAAAAACTGATGCATTTATTAAAAACAGATGCATCTAGCAGGAAAAAAATCCAGAAGTAATACACACCATTTGAAAAATATTAACAAGCTTGATATAACATATAGAGAACATTACACCCAAATTGAGAATATTTTCTTTTTTAAAAAATTGTTCAGTTACAGCTGTCCTGCCTCATTGCTCCCCCTGCCCTTCCCCCCACATTGTCCATGACCCTGAGTCCTCTAATCCTGTTCCTTGGCTTGCCCCTTCCCCTTCTTTCCCCTGTAACCCCCCCCAATGCATCCCCCTCCCCCCTTTGCCAGCACTGTCAGTTTGTTCTTTATTTCCATGTCTCTGGTTCTCTTTGCTCATTTGTTAAACTGAGAATATTTTCAATACATTCAGTGCATGTTTCTAGAGTAACCACATACTAGGTCACAAGAAAACGCAATTTCCAAAGATTCAGTATCATCTATGTTCACAAATCATTTAAATTAGTAATTAACAATACAAATATGGTTTAAAAGTGGCAACAACTTTAACTGGGAACTAAAAAAAAGCACTGATAGATAATCGTTCATTAGGTAAAGAGGAAATCGTAATGTCATGGGACATTTCAAACTCAAGACAATGACAGCACCACACGACAGGACCTGTGGGCACAGCAGAGTCGTGCCCAGGCAGGGACACAAAGCCTCGAGCATAGTTATTCTTTAAAGAACAAGAAAACTGAAAGTAAGCTAAACTTTCAAGCCACATGGCTAGTCAGAGAATTAAAGAGTAACAAAAGTAAGTAAAGTAAGCAAAGAATTAGTAGAATTCATAAATTAGAAAACAAAAAATATAGGTAGAAAAAAACAGGAAGTGAATACTGGTTCTTTAACAAATAATAAAGCAGAAAAACCTCTGGCAAGACTGATAAGAATGGAACACTAACAATGAACAATATTAAGATGGAAAAATGGGGCACAAATACAGCCAGAGCATGATTTTAAGAAACCCTAAGAGGACAAGATGAACAAGTTTATTCCAAAATGAACTTGGGTTCATTTTATATTGGTAAAAGAGTCATATTTCTCACTTTTGAAAGTTTTTCTTTGACATCATGATGTGTGGGAGTGAAAAAAGTATAAATTCATATTTCATATGATATATAGCTACATTAATAAACTGTTAGGTAGAAATAGGATGATTTCGTCTTACTCCCTAAATGTTGTTTAAAAGACGTTTTATAAAAACTAGCTAAAATAGAAACGTTTCTATAAAAACATAAGTAGAAGTGATTGAAGAACACAAACCATAAAGATCTGTGATATCTGCCTACCTACCTACCCACCTGTCTCTGAGCTCTCTCTGGAAAACAAGCCAAGACCAGACGGTTTCACGGAGAGTTTTACCAAAGACTTTCCCCTCGTTTTACTAAGCACTGAAATCCCACTGCCAAATCCAGACAAGGTCAGTAGGAAGAAGAGAAAACTATCTGCCTATCTCACGCTCTAAGATGTAAAATCGTACGTAAAACGTTAGCCCGTTCTGTCTTCCGTCCGATATAGCGTGGGGGTCATGACCTGGACAGTGGAATACTATGCAGCTGTTAAAATCAGCCTTCGGAGGTGGAGGAATGAGGGGACTAAGGGAGGCGACCACCGCCAACCCTGGGCCCTGCCACAACCTTCTTCACCTTTCCAACCCACAAGCTGCTGTTTATCCCTCCAGCGCCTTGGCAGCGTCACCTCTTGTCCCACGGATCAATCTTTCCCCTTTTGTGTTTCCTCTGTTCCTCGTGCATATTTCTATGAGCAAATCTATCTCACAGCTATGCAAGGATTGAGAAGAAATGTTGAACAGCACCCTTCTCCAAAGGATCTAGAACACCCCTCCCCACTTTTCATACTGAACTGACTGACACAAAAGGACAAGTAATGCTGAGTCGCCACCAGGCCGCCCAACAGTTACCGCGCCCTCTGAGCCCCGAAGCAGGGGCCTGAGTTGGACGCGGCTGCAGTTCCCATTTTCTCCATCGGAAAGGGCGCCTCTCGCCAAGCCACTTCCTCTTCCTCTCTGTTCCAGCGGCGCGGGCACCGATCCATCTCAGAAAAAAGCTCCGTAACAGGAAGCACGGAGGCCAGGGTACCGGGCATCCAGCTCCGGTCCCAGGTCTTCCGCGCGCAGCCCCGGATTCCCAGCTGCTTACGCCCCGCGCTCCACTCGCCCCGCGCGCGCTCCCACCCGAGCGGGAGCCGGAGCGGGTGCCGGGGGGAGCGAGGGCCCCGCCAGAGTCGGGGGCGCCATGGAAGTGGAGGAGGCGTTCCAGGTGGTGGGGGAGATGGGCATCTACCAGATGTACTTGTGCTTCCTGCTGGCGGTGCTGCTGCAGGTGAGTGCCCCGCCGCCCCGACAGCGCCCCGCACGTCCTGCTCCCGGGCGTTTGGCCGCGGGCGAGGCGTCCTCCTCCCCCCGCAAGGCTGGGCCCCACGCTGAGGCTCTGCGAGAATACCCGAGGTGGGGGGCACCTTCCAGCCTAACCCCCCCCCCCCCCCGTGAGGGCAGGGCTGGGCCCCAGGACGCCAAGGTCACCGGCCAGCCTGTCAGCCTCGGACCCTCCCACTATGGCGGTTCCGCCAGATCCACCCACCCCATCACCTCCAGTGGGGAAAGGAGTGAGTGTGTGTGTGTGTGTGTGTGTGTGTGTGTGTGCACGCATCAGGTGGGGATTGTGACTAGCTGGTTACTAAGGGGGGCAAAATTCTGTTGTTACTTGTGATCCACTGTGAGTATGAAAGCGAATTGTTGCTCTAACCTGTGGCACTGACACCTTGGAATGGAGACCTCCGAGAGAGCCCTGGCGACCTGCCACTGAAGGGTCCGGGCTGGAGCAGCCTCCTTCAGCTTTGGCTGTCAGCTTACCGCCTTTAACTGGATTTCGGGGGCTCCCTATTCCAGACGTTGTCAATGCACAGGTTTATTTCTCTCTGGTTTCCGTTCTGCTGGATCATTCTGCCTAGAGCTTCGGTTGAGCCTTCTGTAAGTCGAACAGTGCCATCTACGATGTGTGGCTGTGAAATGGAACCACATCTCCGTGGCACAGAATTCTCAGAGACTGTTTGCACACCCCAACCTAAAAATGTGGGTTCCCAGAGCTCAAGATCACTGCAGAAGAACGATTTTCCAGGCAACAGTTACTCCTTCTTTGCCGGCTTAAAGGTTCTATTTGACATCAATTACTTCTTCCAATAGTCTCAAAGACATTTTCTGCACAAATTCTTTATTAGTATTTACTATGAGTCAGCCATTTTACACATTCCTTCATTCAACGCATATTTAATAAGTGCCTACTCTGTGTTTAGCAGGGGCTGCAATAGTGGCCAAGTCAGAAACCCCTTTCCTGTGAAGCTCGTATTCTAGTGGGGTGAGCGAGGCAGGCAGCCAGTATGTAATGACAGATATGCTGAGGGAGGTACAGGACAGTCGTAGGTATAACCAGTCATAACTACAGCCAGTTCATCAGTTGCTTAAACCTTGCATGAGGCAACTGCTCAACAGGAAGCTGGGGATGGGGAGAGGTAAGGGTGGATACTGTTTCTTTCCCATTAAAATGATGGAAAGTTCAGTTGATTTTTATCACCAGCCGGCACTGCTCAGATGATGGACTGAAAGGTGAAAGCACTTGGTTCTCCAGCAAAGCGAGTTCTCAGCTCACAAATATGCAGTATTCGGAAGGTTCCTTGTCTTAGCTTTAAATGTACCTTCCCTCTGAGGGAAAAGTACTTGTGCTAAATTACAAAAAGAGTGTTTAAAACAGAATAGGCTTATAATCTTGTCATCTTTTAAGCCTGATTTCATTTGTAATACTCTTTCTTTGGGAAAATTCTTTTCCTGGCCTAACCAAGAATTCCAGGAACATAACTCCGAGGCTGAGGAACCCCACCCCCCATACCCTCCCCCCTGCACTCTACCTTTCGTGTCATCATCTTTTCATCTGCCTAGCCAGGAACCCGGGAACCTGGAATAAGTTTGTATTGAGTGGAATGTGGCACGAAAAGGGCCACTGTTTGGGGTTCAAGTCTCATGAAGTTTCCCTCACTGTTCTTTGTGGTTGACTCAGGCAGTTAGAGTTTGGTACCAAAGAGGCCTAAGCCCATGACCATGACTGTTCACTGAACTCTGCCTGATGTGTGGTTAGTATTTGCCACAGAAAAGCCAGGTCTTGGGATGCTGGGAATGAAGTGACTCACTGTGTATCTTGTACATGTGGCCTGGGGGTGGGGGTGCTTGTCTCCTTGCCTTTGTCAACACAGGAGAGGCCCCAGGCTAGGCAAAGATGGTTCCCAGCTGTCACATGTTTATGAAGACTCAACCACCCCTTTGAGATAGTGAGCCAGGTGGTCCTAAAATCACCCCAAGTTATCCTTGAGATGAGCATGGAGTTCTGCAAAGACCAAGTCTGTCCTTGGAGAGGCTCGAGCTGTGGCAACTGGGCAGCTGGCCTGCAGAGCGCCAGGCCTGGGGGGTCCCACGTGCGGTCGGAGCACGATGCTCTCAGCATTCTTTGGGGGTTGCTTCCTCCAACAGAGGAAAAAACCTGAAGTCCTTTTCAGAGTTGGCCTAAATGGAAGGAGGTTAATGTTGTCTGCTTTTAAAACCAAAGCACTTGTCTGCCGTTGCCCAGGATGGGTATGGACCAACTGCTAGCCCTGCACACTGTAGATGGGACTGTCAGAGGCAGGGCCTGCCTGGGGGAGGGGCCCGGGCCTCAGCAGGAGCCTTTTCTGCAGCTGAGATCGGGTTAATGACCAACCTCAGCTGAGAAACACAAACCCAGGGGGACAGAGATGGAAACTTGACAGGTCCTTTGACGTGTTCTTCCTCCTGGGACTATTATTACTTTTTAAATGGTTTTCAACTCCATTTACTTCAAACACATTCAAGTTCAAATAAAAGGACAAAACCACATTACAAAGCCAGCTCTAAAGATCTTTAGGTTAACTGTTTTCTTGGGTTATTGATACTGTCATATAGCTCCTCAAAAGTGACTTTGGTACCCAGTTCCCTTTGGCTGGGAGACTGTCCTTCATGTCCGCGCACACGTGATTGCTGGTGTCTCTGTAGCGTTCGGCTTTCAGACACCTAAAGGATACATGCAGATTTTACAGATTTCTCTCGGGTATAAGATGCAAATGCCATGAGACAGCGATATGTGGTTTTAAAGTATAAAATCTAAGGGGAAAAAAATGGCTTCATATAAAAATGGTGTCTTGCCCTGGCTGGTGTGGCTCAGTATATTGAGTGTTGGCCTTCAAACCAAAGGTTCAGCGGTTTGATTCCCAGTCAGGGCACATGCCTGGCCTGTGGGCCAGGTTCCCACTGGGGGGCATGTGAGAGGCACATTGATGTTTCTCTTTCTCCTTTCTCCTTCCCCCCCCTCTCTCTAAAACTAAAGAAATAAACCCTTTAAAAATAAATAAAAATGGTTGTCTTAAGAATAAATAGTAAGATTTATAATTTTACAGTTAGACAAATTCTTACCCTCCAAATATATATGCCTTCCTTTGGGCTAGAGCTACTTGTGGTATTTAAATATGAAGAATTCTGTTGACTTTATTGCTGTTTCTGTTTTCTGATGCCGACCCAGAGTCGATGCCATCACTACTCTTTTGAGTTTGAGTGTGTGTGTGCCTGTTTGCCAGCCTGTCTGGAGGAGGAGGCTGGGGTCCACTTCTTTGCATTTTGATTTCTTTCGACATAAATGAAAACAGACCCTACATGTTTGCTCTAAGCCAGAGACTCCAGCCCCTTGATTTTCCTCAGGGTCGTGAATCGTAGGCTGCAGTCTAATGTGCACGAGATTTAAAACATCCGCTAACCAACAGAAACATGTACCCTGTAACAAGCATTTGTTTCACCAGCGAAATCGGGGTGCTGCTGTGAGCCTCAGCTCGAGCTGTAGTGCTCTGGTGGCCCAGAATCTATGAGTCCTATGTGCACCCTTAACAACCCCAACCTGAAGTTTCAGACCCTAAAACTCCCAGTGCATTCAAATCATCCACACAGTGAACATCTTTTCACAGTGTTTTAGAAAGCGGGATGCCTGAACAAGTATTTTGTCGAAGAGGAAACTATTAATATACTAGTCACACATGTAAAGATGTTTACCTTCAGTGCTCATATGGGGCAGGCGTATTAAAATGACTATGAAATATCATTTCACACTTATTAGATTAGCAAACACTAAATAGGCTCCCAGCACACGTGTGATGAAAATGAGAAGTAGACACCGCACCGTCCGGAGAACGATTCCTCCTGTCGAGTGAAATGAAAACCCCGCATCGGACTCCGAGGCACACCTCCCGCGATATCTCTTGACCGTGTGCACAAGGAGATGTGACAGGATGTTTACTGCAGCACTCTTTGTAGCAACAAAAATTGGAGACCTCCTAAATGATTCTCAAAAAGGAACTGGATAATTAAAATGTAGTATAAATTTGATAGGATATAACAGTTAAAACGAAGGAACCAGATCTGTACACAGCTACATGGATGGATCTCTAAAACACAAAGTTAGGTGAAAAAAAATAACCAGCCTAATACGTATGATGTGACACAAACTGTTATTCTACATTTTGAGAACATGTGAAACAAGACTATACTTGGTCTGTGAATGTGTGTGAACCACGGGGCACTGTGGACACAGGGCGTGCAAGGATCCACGCCCAGTCCTTGGAGTTGGCTGCTCTTGGGAAGGGAGGGAGTGGCGCCGGGAGGGGAGGCGTGCAAAGGAGGTTTCCTCTGTGTCTGTAATGTTGTATTTTAAAAACCTGAAGCAGCCCTGGCTGGCGTAGCTCAGTGGATTGAGCGCGGGCTGCGAACCAAAGTGTCGCAGGTTCAATTCCCAGTCAGGGTACATGCCTGGGTTGCAGGCCATGGACCCCAGCAACCGCACATTGATGTCTTTCTCTCTCTTTCTTTCTCCCTCCCTTTCCTCTCTAAAAATAAATAAAATCTTAAAAAAACCCTGAAGCAAACATGATAAAGCATTACTTGCTAATTGTGGTGGTGAATCATGTTTTATTAATTTTGATTTCGTGTTATCTTTTCAAAATAAAAAAATGGCAAAGAAAAGATCTGTGTACCTAGGAGAGAATGCTACAGCTCACTGATTGAGAATAGCAGTTCACTCTTTTACTGGTACTCCTTTAACCAATGGTGGCTGTGCACTGTGGTCGCTCATTTACCACTTGGGAGGGTGAGGGAGAGCGCGTTTCATTCAGGGCGCTCCACTAGACTTTGTAGAGAATGCTGTCACAACTGAACTCTTTTTTTTTAAAGATTTTATTTATTTTTAGAGAGGGAAGGGAAGGAGATAGGGAGAGAGAGAAA